ACAGGGCTTATATTACTTTTACTTTAAGCCCCTTTCAAGCGTGCGCTGAACTCCTGAAAACACCACACAACACCCATGTTGGGGTTGAAGTCTGAACGCAAATGACTGAATCTGAAAAGTGTCCCAAGAAAGTCAGAGCCTAAACTCTCCAAGCACAACCAGAGTGTTCCAAAATGTCAGAGCACATCCGACACCAAGAACCTTCCTGCTGTGAGGTGCATGTGTGGAAGGTAAAATCCTAAAAATATCAAAGCCTGATTGCCATGAAATGATCTCAAAGATATTAGGAATTCATGAAAAGGACATTTTTTTTTTGGCTATTACCAACCAGGGCTTCCCCACAGAATGACATGGTACCTGGGCCGTGGAGTTCACGTTCACTGGGTGGGTGCTGCGTCCTTTTTTTTGTTTGTTATGTTGCACGGAGCAGTGAGGTCCTTGTGTACGCCTGCATGCTCTCGCCTGCTCTCTCTGTCTCTGTCTCTCTTTCATTGCTAGCAGCAAATTTATGAATAAATAAAATATTAAATGAAAGCAGCTCAGAAAATATCCTTTGGCAGCCCGCCCAGGTATCGTCTATGTGTGAGAAACACTGCATACAGTAGTATCATATTCAGCAAAGTTAGACTGCTTAGCGATGCAACCATGTGACATGTTGTTGCAATTTGGAATGATGGTTGATATTGTTTATTTTTTTTCAGATATCCCAAAGGCCAAAAAGATCAAAAGCCTATTTTGGCTAGTCGGTGCTGCAGATACTAACATAAGCAAGATCAACAATTTTGTATTGATGTGACGTTCAGTGCTTAAAGACTCTATAAAAATAGTATATGATCAATTATAGCCTGCATTTCATCTTTCCTATTGCCTTATGTTTACCCGTTTGAGAAGAGAGAGGAGTTTTCACTTCCAATCATGCCATCATCTTGTCAACAGGAAGCTTGAGGTTGCCAAAGAGAAACATAATAACAAGCTGTTTGACCCCCTTCCTCCCTTTTAAATCTTAACATTTGACAAACTCTAAATAAATTGGTCCTGCTTTATCTGCAACACGGACCCTGAAGACTCCTTGAGTTGTGTTTTTGAAGTCAGTGTTTTCTGCTCTGACGGAGTTGGGGAAAGAAATGGGTTAATCCAGTTATGAGGGTAAAATTCGTAGCATGCGTGAATGCTAATCAGCTCAAGATAAAAGAGCAGACTTAGAGAATATTTATATGTGCTCTCATATTTAAATCTCAACTCAAAAAAAAAAAAAGAAAAACAAATCTGGAAATCTACCATGTCCTGCTGTCTCCCTCCCTTCGTCACACTCTGCAGAAATGATGATATTACAAACGGTCTGCGTGCTCGAAATGATCTAACAGCTGATGTTGTTACGGAGAGCAAACACACGTTTCACTAAGAGCGTCTCGGCGGTGGAAGGGGCGCCCCGTTTTTTAACGTGCGCTGTGCTGTTTAAGTTGCACGCTGGGCTTCTTTTGTCGTCTTCTGCGTGCGTGTGCGTGCATGTCAGGAGGACAAAAGCGGCCTTATTGCATCAGTTTGGCTCTCTACATTCGGCTGTGTGAGGGGCGTCACAGGGTCACATCATAACTAAGTTAGTCAGGGTTCAACAGGGCTGGAGTGAAGGGCTTGCTGGAGTGGGGTTGGGGGGGGGGGGGGGGGGGGTTCCACTGGGTTAAAGACAAAACCGGGATGTGGGGGGGGGGATTGTAATTCACGCTCAGTTGGACCCTGAGCATGCTAACAGGCTACAGTGCTAATCTAGTTAGAGCTGGAAGTCATGCAGAGACAAAGAAGGAGGGTCGGGATAGGAGGAGGTTACGTTTGATGGAGGCAGGGGGGGTCAGGACTAGGCTGGAGTGTGGACGGAGGTGGTTGGGCCAGACAGAGGGGCATAGGGCAGAGCGGGCAGAGGGGAGAGGGATGGCAAAGGGCAGGTGTGTGTATGAACGACAGGAGTGGGGGGGGGAGGGTCTCTGTGTTTCACTCCAGCCAACAGATGGAGGGAGGAAAATGAAAGGGGTGGCCCAGTGATTAAACAAACCCTCACTCTGTGATCAAACAATTCTCAATGTATCTCTATAAGTCAGAGAAAAAGCATGCTTTACTGTATTTATAGTGACTTGTATCTGAAGACTGTAACCCAGACGGATCCATCCATTGCTCTTGATCCACCACATAACATCGAAATGATGACAGCAGTCAGAAAAATAACTCTGCAGAGACGTATTCTGAATCATGTGAAAACGTTCTCGTTTTTCTGCACACTCTGTTTTGTCTCACGTTTCACTCAGTGTTTGATTCGCGGACGCGACCTTGATCAAGTCACCGAACCGCTGAGAATCTCTGAAGTGTTTCCCTGCAGGAGTTAAGTACACAGAAAAGATTTTTAAAAATATATTTATGACAGCTAATCTCTGTAAAACATGACCATTTTAAAAGGACGTTGGAACACGTATTACATCTGTTAAGCTATTAAAACTCGACTCTACACGCTCTTAAGACTGCCTGACATTGACTTTCTGCTGTCGTGTTCATAGTCAAAAAAAAAAAAAAGATAAAAACGGCTCGACACCGAGAGGAGCAGAACAATCAGAGGGGCAAAAATAGACTGTTAAAAACTAAGAGTTTTAATGGTAGAGAGAATAAAAAGGTTTAAAGGTCAATCATTATTTAATACAGCCATAAAAATCTGTAAAACCACTGACCAACTTTCATTCTTTTTTTTTTTCTTTTTTGAATTCAGAGACAGAAATGATTTAACTTTATTTTCAACCTTTGCTAAATCTAGAAGTAGTCATCTTAAGTGTTGTAGTACTCGAAATCGGACACTTTTTGAATGCCTTGTCTCATTTTGGCTCAGTCTTGTCTTGGTCTCAGACCGGGCGGACTCTGGATTTTAAATCAAGACCGGTCAGTGATATTTATGATCTCTGTCACTCCCTGCCCTGGACTTGGTCTTGTCTCGATCTCTAAATGTCCCGATCTTGTCTCAGTCTCGGAGCACTCTGGCCTCGGGTATGTCTTGGTCTTGGTCTACCGTTTCCTTGACTACAACACTGCGTCATCTTGCGTATTTTTTTTATAACACGTTATCTTTCTTCTCTCTCTTCTTGAACCCGTCTGAGTGCTTGTTTTTTTTTTTTTTTTTTTTTTAAACCTGAGGTCTGACTGCACCACCACGACGCACATCCCAAAGACTGTCATCAAATAAATACCTTTAACTCTGACTTGAAGTGCTAAAAAAAAAGGAGGCTTGTAATGAGTTTTAGTGTTATAAGACTCCTGATTAGGTTTAAACACGCTCTAAAAAGACAACATAATGAGTCGAGCAACATTTAATCAAGGTTTTTACTATTTCAGCCGCAGAATCGGAGTATATCCATCACGCTAATGAACCGCACAGGGAAGCTTTTGTCAGCATAGGAAGAACAAAGACATGACAAAGACTAAATGAAGAAGCAGCGCTGCTCTTATTAATCTCCTGTTCATCATGATGTTAAATCAAATAGCTTAATAGACTTCCCCTGAACCAAAGAGTGAAAGTGTGACAAAGTTATTTCAGCATGGAAGGACTTCAAGGGGAATCCAGGCATTCATGAACCACGGCTGCAAATACATTTGAAAGAAAAACTGGAATTGCTGCAAAAGACAGCAAAACCCCAAACAGCCGTAACACATCGCTCTATTCAAGAACACCAAACTCCTTTGACAAAGTGAACAGTGAATGGATTTTGCTGTGAAAGTATGCCTACTCAAAAAGGGACTGTTGGGTGCATCAAGAAAAATGGAGGAAAATGTCCTTTTCACAAATGAATGTCAAACGTTTTAAAGTACCAGGATACTTCTAAACACATAAAAGATACTCTGCAGTAGTTTCCTGTTGGTCTGAGGAACGTGTTAAAGCAAGAATGAACTAAAGTAAAGAACGTTAAGTGAGATCGAAAGGAGAGAACGCTGCGTCTGCATTCTGTTTTCACACACCATCACATTGCAGGAAAGACTTCCAGCTGTTCCATAAATGTACTTCTTGATTTCTCTCTCTGTCTTACACATACAGGCCAACACTTAAAAGTACACACACCTCCTGCTGGTTCATCAAGATACACTTTCTCACGCGCACAAAGGTTGTCAAAGTGTTGATTGGGCTTTATGATGTTAGCGATTTTGTGCAGAAACTTGACTTGTATTTAAAACTGTTACTTGAACGCCTCTTGAAAGTTATTAAAACCTGCATTCTTCCTAACGGCCAGCAGGGGGGCGTATCCAATGGTTGCAAAAGGACGCCTGACTGTATGGAGCCGGAGAAGAAAGAAGCCAATTTCTCACAATTTATAAGCTTAACAAACATTTCCGATTTGTTTATGGGCTCAACATTTAGAGTGCAAGTCTTTTTCAATAAATGGTCAAATGTTTGCTCCTCGTACGGCTGCTTTAAATGACCGGTTTGCACTTTGGCGGCCGGAGAAAAGTATTTGGTCAAACTTAAATACATTTGTAAAGTAGACTTTAATTTTCTCTGCCACATACATGTTGTTTAAGAGCGTATATTAGGGCAATCCACCGATCCCTTAATGAGCTATTGCATCGCAAATTCCAGATATTTTGTGCAGTTTGGACCAATCATGTGACAGAAAATAGCGATGTAGCGAAAAAAAAACGTTTACAAAAGTGCTTCATCCTCTTTTTGACACATTGGTGACCCACTGAAAACAGCTCTGTGGCACACTTGAGGGTCCCGACCCACTACTTTAGAACCACTGGTTTAGAGCATGTTAGTTGCCAGCCAGTTATTAGCATCGTAAACAGATGCTACGCAATCTATGCCATAGAGTTAGTTGATAGCATTTGCTGTATCCTCGCTCTTCTCAAGCTCAACCCTGCGGTCCAAATATGGTGATTTCTGGTGAGGCAACAATATGACGGCTACTTCTATCTTCTTTTATGCAGTCTAAAGATTGAAAAACATAGAAACTTAAACAGGAGAGGGGACATACTGGCTTTGAGGCTGGCCTCGTTCACTTCGATCTCCCCTCTGGCCGGCTCCTCGTACTGCAGGTGGGGGTAGTAGGCGAGCGGCTCGGGGCTGGCGGTGGAGCTGGCGTAGCCGTTGGACATGCTCTCTCTGGGGCTGTCTGTCCTCCAGCGGTGGACTTCATCGAACACAGCAACCAGCTACAAAAAGACGCACACACAACAGGTTGAATTGTGACTCAGATATTCTGAACATACTGAAAGATCATCTTAAATATGACGGCCTAAACATGGGAGATTTTCTGAACGAGCTGTAAACAAGCCGCCAGGTTAATACGGCGTCTCCACTGTGGCACAATCACAGCGAGGCTTTCATGTGATTTATCTCGCAGACAGTGGGGGTGAGACCTGCTGCATTCTGCCAAGTGTGCATGTGTGTGTGTGTTAACAGTGCTGGATTCACAGCTCATTCGCTCTCAAACCTCTTAACAGTGCAGAACACACGAGCAGATGCCACTTCAGCAGAAGAACTCTTCTTCTTCTTTATCTTAAACAAATATCTGACTGGAGGAATCTGCGGGGGGAAAGGCTGCAGGAGGAGTTACAGGCCAACGGCGAGGTGAGCGCGTCTGGAATTAAGAGTCAAATGAGATCTGACAGGAGAATGAGAAGCTGTCAAACACAATGACACGGCTGCCACAATGAGACAGGGGCGGCCGAATGAAGAGGGGATGGAGGGCAGAGGGATGACAAACAATCCTAATTGAGACAGCAACATGATGGCAGATAGGGCTGAGGGGAGTGTGTGTGTGTGTGTGTGTGTGTGTGTGTGTGTGTTTGGCGGAGACGTCGCGGCTACGTGGTTTGATAAATGGGCGCGCGGCGGCATGACGCTCTCATTAGACGAAGGAAATGACCACTTAATGAAAAGCAATAACCGCGGTGGAACGAGGGGTGGAAATAAAACAACAGACGAGTGTCAATTAACAACAAGAGGAGCACGGAGGCTGTGTGTGTGTGTGTGTGTGTGTGTGTGTGTGTGTGTGTGTGTGTGTGTGTGTGGAAACAATAAGCAAGGAGGAGGAGGCGGCGAGATACCCATCATCCATCACCTCCACCTCCAGCGATTCAATATTCTGGTGACACCTGGACGACGCCATGCAAAGTAGATTCGACTGTTACAGTGCGAGCATTAAGGGAGAGAGAAAGAAAAGATGAGGAAGCGGAGGAGAAGAAAAGAAATGACAGAACGCCAAGAAAAACAATCAGATTGCGGCCGCTTGATGGATGCTTCTCGAGCTCTTTCTCTCCTCTTTATCTGTTTCCCTCTTCCTCTCCTTATCTCTCTCCGACTCTCTTTTCTCCAAACTCGCTGACAGCATCAATCAAAGCGAGAGAAAAGTCTGGGAGCGTGGTGTGATGTGCGCGTGCCAGAGCGCGCTCGTGAGCCGCCATCAAAAGCGATTTATTCGCTTTGAACAACAACAACTTCTTTTAATGTGCGGGGGGGGGCGATGATGATGATTTGCTTTTGGGGACTTTTTTTTTTTATTTTTTTATGGCTGACACAGGCAGGGGAGTGATGCGGATGAAGGCCGCCCTGCTGCTTCCTCTCATCACTCAATCAAACACAAGTATCAACAGAATGAATCATGCGTCGCTTCATTTGGAGCACGCTGAGGTTTAGAGGAATGGACCTTTTGAGGAAATGTATTTCACTCCATGCTGACTTTGAACACGTGTTTTTTTTTAACCCGGCCTTTACCCCCAGTCAGGGAATATAAAAATATGCATGCCAGTTTAAAATCTTCCAAATCAAAATGCACAAAATGAACCAAACGAGACGGATCTTTAAATGGAAAATGTTCTATAACAGGGAAATGCAAAATGGCACAGAAGAGTTGACGGATGAAAACCGAGGCTGACAGCTGACGGATGCTGACGAGGGTCAAACTAAGGTGATTTTCAAACCGCTGACTCCAAATCCCACCTCGACCTCGATTTCTTTTGCGATCACTTCTCACTTCCTGACGAGCTGGCGTCTGAATCCGAAGCATCCAACAAACAGCACGGCACGTGACGCGGTTGAATTTTAACGTTTCTAGTTCACAGAAAGAAATAATGTCGAGGGAATGTAATGCGAGAGAGCGCTTCGGTAGCACCAAAGGGGAGAATTAGGAAACCAGCAGGTGCATTTGTTCGTTCTGTGACCCCGGCGTCGGGCTCGAGACCACTTTTTGAAGCAAAAGCATTTTGACTCCAGCTTGTCTCGGCCTCAGACTGGGCGGACTTTTAAATCAAGACCGATCAAGACCACCATTGATTGGCTATTTCTCCACGTCATTACTGTGATGAGAAGGAAAACGCCTCTTTCTAAACAAACAAATAACTTAGTTTGATTTGTATCCCCCGGTTTTGGCCGTGATCTTCGTGAGGGACACACCCCTAAACACAAGATGATGATTTTCAGTGATATTTATGGTCTTGGTCTCAATCCGTACATGTCTCGGTCTTGTCCTGGACTCGGAGCACTCTAGTATGGGTTTTGAGAACACATTCACCCATACCAATGTTAAATGAAAATAGACACATATTTATACAAACTACAAATCGTTGTTTCTCAGTCTCTATGAGAGAGCGCTTTCTTATTTGTCCTCTGTTGCTATAAAAATTCTAATTATGAAATTCCCACATGAATTACCGGCAGCAGCGTTGGAGGTTTATCGAGCTCCCTGAACCCTCAAAAATCTGAGGATGTCACAAAAGTTTGTCCAAACTGAAACTATCTGCATAACTAGACATCTCTTAGGGTAACCATTTTAATAATTGGTGCTTCTGTTTTGTTTTTCTGTGATTTAAGTGAGCCTTTAATATTCCAAGTGGTGTCCCCTGGTGAAAGACAATTTATTTTACTTCTAGAAAAGCTGATTTGAGACGTCTGGTTGCAGAAGCCGTCAATCAGCCGATCTTTACTGAAGGGACCGCAGTCATTAAAACTGTCAAATACGATAAGGAACTTGGGAGAAGCTTTATTTTCTAAAGCGGTTTTTGAAATTCAGAACCTGGAACGCAGCTCCACTGCGGTCTTTTGGAGGACCCGGTAACCCCGGGATGAAGAACGGCACCTTGATGGTTCACAGTGCACAACACAAAGGTTTCTCTCCCTCACTGCTGACTGCCATTAGTATTCTAGGTAACAAATCGCCTTATTTTTCCTGCCACGTCTGTGGGGGGGGGGATATTGATATGGACCTGGGGAGGCTGCATGTCAACTACTGCTGAATAATGTGACCCTTTGTCTCATTTCCATAACACACACACACACACACACACTGGAACCCGTGCCAAATACAAATGACTGAAGCCTTTTTATTGTCATGTTATGGTCGTTTGTAAATCAGGACGTGGCGTGTGTATTCAACGTGACCATACTGTGTGTGTGTGTGTGTGTGTTGTGTGTGTGTGTGTGTGTGTGTGTGTGTGTGTGTGCAGAGCCAAGGCGATTATCATGACATACATGAAAGCAGCGCACAATACCATGCGTGAAGCGAGAGCGAGATAAACACGCCGCCTGTGAGGATTCCCATACACACTGCCTAGGAGGTAGAAAATGTTTCAATATATGCGGCCTTTAGCAAAAAAAAAAAAAAAAAAAAATACACACACTTATTCCACCCAATCTTATAGAGCGGAAAATACACAACCACCCACACTCATCCTGTAATACTATAACACATTAGTATTTTGCTTAATTTTGATTAAGCGATGGGTATTATGGAGCCTTGTGATCCCGTTTTGGTTTAACCTACATTACATCAAATGACGTCGCCCTGTGCCAGAGTAGATTTTAGACTTCACTGACGTTGAGGTGAACCACGTTTCCTGTCATGCACGCAAACACACCTTTAACAAGGGAAGACAACTTGTTGCAGCTGAAGAAGAAGAAGAAGTAGAAGAAGGTCTAACGGTAAGATTGAGAGAGTAAACTCAAATATGCTTCGGTTGCCTTATGGTTGCATCCTGTTCTGGTCTAAGGTGCGGACCGAATCTGGCAGCCGGAGAGGTGTCAAGTTCACTTCCTGAGCACTGCTGAGGTGCCCTTGAGCAAGACACCTAGCCCCTCCAGCTCAGGAGCGCCCACCCCCTCACTCTTGACTTCTCTCCAGTAGTGCGTGTCCATGTGTGCATGTGTGTTAGGGATGCAACAATACAGTCAGCCCACGGGTTCAATACGTACCTCGTTTTTTTGGTCACGATTCGGTTCGGTTCTGACGGGCCGGGCCGTCAAAATGTTTCCAGTGTTAAGTATTTTAGGCAAATTTTACAGAACAGTAATGGATTAAGAAAGAGAGCGACTTTTCTTCATTTTAAAACTATTTATTTCTCCTTTCAGCCTATTGCAAAGTCAGATTAGATTTGAACATGAGGTAAACTACAATTAGCTCAATGAATGGCAACAAAAAAGTGCATTGGTGACACACTGTCATATTATTGCTCCTCTCTTATTCTTGTAATGTTCAGTATTGTAAATATTTAGAGTATTAACAGCAGCTCAAACGATTTAAGAACATTTCAAAAGACATCAAACCTCACACTGAAGGTTCAGACGTGTTTTATGACCAGTTTAGAGTTTTTAATAAGAGCAGTGAGGGTGATGTGCAGACAGAGGAGCACTCAGTTGATGTTGAAAGACATCAGTTAGTTAACAGACAGCAGCCTGTTATGTAGTTCACATACTTCACTGGTTAACATGGAAACTGTGAGCAGATGATCAGTTTCACTTTTTGTTTCTTGTCCGTCCACTTACATGCGTAATGGCACGTTCCCCGACTCTCGCTCACCCGTATAGCTCTCTCTCCCTCTCACGTTCGCAGACCCACAGTTATGTTTTGATGCGTGTTTTTGACATAATGAGGGAGAGAGGCTTTCGAAAAAAAAGGGCGTTTGCGGTCGTTAATATACCTGGACGAGTGGGAAACACTGAGCAGGCACACACGCTCCCCCCACACTATCAGAAACTGGTCTGTCGTGTAACACTACTTGAGCAATGACTGCAGCCTGTATGATCTATAGACTGTCACTGTACCGGCCCTGGCGGCCCTTCAGGAAGCCCAGCCCACCGGGAATTGTTCCGGTTCTCCCGATTAGCCACTCCGGGGCCCTTTCTGAATAGTCACAGTTCAGTATGCAGTACGTACTTT